TCCAACTATTTATATGTTGGTTTATGCAAAGTCGTATACAAATTATTGTCATTTATTCATTTTTATCTCTTTAACGCTGTCCACTTTTAAAGAAATAAGAATTAATCGCAGGGAAACAAAATATCAAAAAAAACATTATTGACTTGTTTCTTTGGTTAAAGGGCTTAATAATTATTTATTGATTTATTCGTTTACATTATCATCAAACACAGGCCACCAACTATAATCATTGCTGCATTTTAGATATTTATGACTTTTTCACGCGTTCTTGTGCTCACAAAAGTTGAGGATGTCGATCAAAATACAAATTGAGATCGACCAAAATTACTAACCAATATCGATTACGAAAATATCGTAGACATTGCAAAATCTATTAAATGGGAAAACGACTGTAAATGATCTTTGATAATAATATAACTCGAGTAAGTCAATACATTTTTTAATATTTTTGTCTCCCTACGGTTGAGAGAGAGTCTTTGAGGGATAAATATGATTTCTGAAAATAATTTGAATACAACTTGGCGTAAACCAATGTATTATAATTGTCAGTTCGGTCATTCTTAATAAAAATAATTTCATTTTTTGATAACTAATAAAATTATAGTAGGTCATACTAACACCTGAACAGCAGAATAGTTGAATTATGAAATAGCGGAATCAGTTAAACAACAACATTCTTAAGCTGAATAGAATAGATTTCTTTAAACGCCTAAGCTACTATTTAGCAGATAAACGAGTCTCCAATTGAGTTATAATTTTAAACCTTGCGAGACAAAATAAGAAAAATACTAATTATTTTCACGTTTTACATTTATCACAAATTTTTGTGAATGATATGTATTCAGCGGAATCATGCTTTCGAAACATAGAAACGTGAAAAAGTCATAAATAATTGTTAGCGGAACCAACTGAACTTGAAAAACTCTTCGTAGAATAATTATAAAGCGTTGACAAGCTAGTTTTAGTAAATTACTCACGTTCATATTTTTTACTTATATTTTTGAAACATTTCTGTAGCGGAATCACTTAAAAAAAAAACGATGAATATTTTGAATGATAAAAAATAACAGAATCATGTTTTCAAAACATGAAAACATGAACAAATGGTATATCATTCATCCCATTGTAGTCATTCTTATCAAAATAATTGTAAGGCGGGTCATTCTTAATTAAAAAAAAAATTGTGAATTGCCTCTTTCTATATGTATGGAATATTTATAAGTAAGTTGAATCATTCTTAGTAAAGACAATTTAAAAAAAGAATATCTCATATCAATTTTTTACTCTAGTTTTAGTTAACAATAATTTCTAATTATCGATTACTAAAGAAGAGTAACTAACGGTTTTTTACTCTAGTTTTAGCTAACATTAATTTCTAAAACTATTTCTAAAGAATGGTTTTAGAGGCTAATACCTGCTTCTTAATCATCCTTTATTTTGGAGGCTACGCTTTAATCCTTATATTTTCTAGTTTAAATTTTCATTCATGCTAATTTTGTCTTTTGCGAGTGTCATAAATAGATAAGATCAACCCTAGCTCATAGTCTTGGAAAAAAATAAAGCACATGAATACGAGCTTTTTAAATACCGTCTTCACCATCGTTTTCCTCAGAATATGTTTGTCAAGCAATTGTCAATTTGTCATAATGATCAAAAATTTATGTGGCAATAATCAAATGACTCGACCTATCCAATCCAGCTCTTGAACCAATTTGGGCAAATCCCTTTGGTAGGCAGACAATGCTCTTACTCTGGCGCTAATATGTTAAGACTATGCAGCCGTATTAATCAAGAATGACTAAAAATTAAATTTAGTACTCGTCAATTAAAAAAAAAAAAAAGTATTTCCTCCGTATTAGTTTAAGTGATGTTTTAGCCAAAAGAAAATTGTTTCAAAAAAAAAATTTATTCTTTTCGAAGGCAACTAAAACCAATCGTAGTCATCATTGTAATAATTTGTAACTCGGGTCATTCTTAACAAAAATAATTTGTGAGTTGGGTCTTTCTATATAGAATATTGTTCGCTAGATATAATTATATATTCGTAAGTTGAATTATTTTAAATAAACATAATTTGTAAGTTGGGTCATTCTTAATATATGTAATTAACAAAAAATTAAATATAATTTGGGTTTCGTTGCGGGATGGATGACCGTTCTTGGGAATGGAATTTGCTTCAACGCCTTGTTTGGAAATGAGGCGACGCCAAACATCGGGGTATTATTGGCAAACTACAGATAACCTCTATAAATTAATACGCGATAAATTAATGTTTCGTTAAATTAATAATTTTCTCGGGTATTAAATTGATATTTTAGCCTAAATATCACTTTTATAAATTAGTAAACACGATAAATTAATAAAATTTAGTAAAATACATTGGTCCCAGTATTATTAATTTATAGAGGTTTTACCGTAGTTATCACTTCTAATAGTTGCTCTATACTCTTTGCTTTTATGGAAGTGGAGAGTGGAGTTCCACAATAATGTGTTCCGCCAAAGATACATGAAAAAGGGAGGAAAGGTTAGTACTTAGTATATATGGGCACACCCTTACCAGTTTGACGCCAAAATAAGAGTAACATTTTGCCAAAGGGATTTTTCTGATCCACTCTGTCGGAGTAAACCAACGCACGGAAGAGATGGTCTTATCTATTTGTGGCACATACAAAATAAGAAAATTAGCATGAATGGAAAATTAAAATATGAAAAATAGTAATATAGCGAGTATGTCTTGCTCCCTTAATTATACCGTGATGAGTTACATATTTTGATCAACACTCGGTTGCGATGCGTTTGAAATTGTTAGAAGTGATTGTATACTAAAACTAGAGTAAAAACGATATTAGTTACTCTTTAGAAATTTCTATTTTTTTTTTTATGTACTTAAATGAAATGATGAATAGAGAATATTATATTAGTGATGTATTACATCATTGTATAATGTAAGCATTCTATTATAATGAAACACTTAAATCTTAGCCGTCGCACGTAATTGCGTCTTAGATAAGACTACCTCCTCGTTCATCCGTTGGATTAGAAGGAGTGTCCAAAGATCTGAGCCATTGAGATCAAAATGAGAAATCTATTTAAGAAGAAGGTTTTCCTTCATTATTGCTCACACCAAAATATTTGATCTCACATCAAAATATGCCTCCATATATAACACGAGTTCATAATGATGCTGAGAAGCGTGTACACATATACGGAACGGTTGGCGGTATGGCGTATTCTCTTGCTAATACAGAAACTAAGTATATTAATGATTATATGAGTACTTCTGATTCATATACGAAGATTAATATACAGGATCCAGAAGACTCTAAAGGATATCGGCTGAAGTACACCAATCCGAATCAGACTATTTATCTTAATGATATTGTTGGCGAGAGTTCTGGTGTTGCGGATTCTGAAATTCGTACATGGAAGGATTCAATAAGTATTCTTCTAAATATATATGTAAATTTTATCAAGATACATTGTAAGAATGATTACTTAGGGTTATCTCAATCTGATGGATCTATAAAATATTATTATTCTATTGATGCAACAATGAAAGAAGGAGGAGGACTTACACTAGTAGGATTTGAGCCTCGAGGTGAGAATACTAAAGGTGAAGTCGAAGAAGATGACGATGAAGCTGAAGAAGGAGACGTCGCAACCCAAAGTACCAGCAAGAATGATTAAGTCATATGACTAAGTCTCCTTTTCCCTTTTATTTATGTTTTTCTTACAAATAATACAGTGGCTTTATGTTCCTATCTTTGAGGGCAAAACCCACGTTTCCTTTTCTGCTTTGTGCTTCCAAGTGTGTAGGAGTTTAGACTCCATTGTATATTGAAAATAAAACATTGAATAAAGACTTATCTTGTTTGCCTATTGGAAGATTTGTTCTTGTGTTTGTATTGTATAAGGTAGATATCACTTGAAAAGAAAATAAGAAATTTGTTTTGCTTACAAATTAAGTGTTAAACAATTTTGACAAGAGGCAAATAAATTTTGAAATTAGAACATTAATTGTAGAAAATAATTGGAGATTTTTCAATTTGCTAGCACTAAAGTTTATAGCTTGTTGCTTTACGTTCTCATATTTGAAAATCAATCTACAACCACTTTACATTTAGATTTTGTATGTTTCAATTCAATTAGTTCAAAAAATGTGATTTAAAATCCTAAATCGACTTCGTTAACCTATATATACCCTACCCGAAAGAGAATAATGAACGACCAATCATTATTCTATTACATTCAACCATCATTATTGATTGGTCGTTCAATATTATTCAAATCTCTAATTAAACTTAACAAGCAGAGAAATATTTCACATCCTATAAAATCCTAACTCCTTATGAGCTTGCTCAATCACTTTCACTTGTCAATCATTTTATTGATCTTCCTAATCGTTCATCTAAAGTCTAAATCCAGATCTTGTGAGGCTCACATCTCCTCCTACTCTCTTAATTTGAGACGGCCCTGGTATGGAAAATGAACCAACCAAATCCGGTTAAACATAAGCTTAACCGGAAAATAATATGACCAAAGCATACAACAATCCAAAAAAAAACCTTTTTAAAACACCCCCAAAATTTTCTCAAACAAAACTTATATATATTTTCTCCAAAAATCTCCATTTAAATACATTCTCGATTCAAGCTCTTCATTTCAATTTAGCCATGATCTAAGAAAAATTTAGCTAAGAGAAAAAATAATAGTTGCAATTATAAAAATATATGTATTTTTAGTTAAGTAAAACATCAACTAAAACAAAATCATGTAAAATGTAAAATATCCATTTAAGGAGGAGCCATACCAATCCCGTTGGGGCAGCTCTATGCACGCAAGAAGCATCAAAATAGCGAAGGAACCACAATCAGTGGATAGTGTAGTCTGATGTGTTTTATAATCATTAAGACATTGAAGTGTATGATCCATAAATTTTTGAAGGAAAAAAGAATATAACTAATAACACAAAATTGCATACAAATATAAATGAAAATGCTGAAACATAAATGTTTTTGTTATTCTGGCCAAGCCGAGACCACAAACGAAAATCAAAGGCAGGTTTTTTCATAGTCCAAGTAACTATAATAAAATAATCATAACATTAAAATAAACTAAAACTAGTCTTCGTCATCAGAATTATCGAATGTGATCTTCGTAGCTTTTGGAGCATCAGCTGCTATTTCTTTGAAATGTGCTCCATACAATTTTGATTCCTGCAATTTTTAATCAAACAAAACACACATCAATCACTCCAGAATCCAGATGATGATGAAGAAGATATTTGTGAGAATCAAGAATGTGATGGAAGAAAATCAAAACCTTTTTCTTTACATGAGTGCCAAACTTCAAAAGATCATCTGGCACGACTTGTCCTGCTTCCCTGAGAACATTGACAAGTTCTCCGGCAAGACCCTGTAACAAAGAGGCAATCATATCTGAATCATCTCGATTCTCAACAACTCTGTAAAAAGGTCGAAGAATCTAAAAGAGTGTTTCAGGTTTACCTTGTTCAGTTGCGTGAAGAACGTGTGTGCAACGCCCTTTTTACCCGCTCTTCCTGTCCTCCCGATTCTGTGTACATAATCCTCTGTTGTTAAAGGGAAACTGTAGTTTATCACAACTTCCACGTCGGGGATATCGAGCCCTCTTGCTGCAACATCAGTAGCCACCTGTAATTTATAAAACAGTGTCAATGCTCTCTTTCAAAACCAGCCAAGGTATTTATGTTAGCCATGGAATTGCGGAATAATAAAGACTACACATACCAGTAACGGGCAGGATCCTTCTTTGAACAATGATAAAGACCTGGTACGTTCGCTCTGTGCTTTGTTTCCGTGTATAGATACAGCTTTCCAACCTCTAAATAATTGTGTAAATATTAGAATCATTGCAGTTCATGAGCAATAATATCAAAGATCTTTTTCTCTTTTGTTTGAGGTGATTTGGGCTAAAAGATCAAACCTTTGCTGAAGAAAACGCTCGAGACGTTCAGCTTCCACCTTGTATAAAGCAAATACCAAAACCCTGTTCCTGTAAGTACCAAAACACTTGGTATTAGTATGTTGAAAAAGGAAAGATCTGGTAAGGGTTCGATGATTAAGTAGCAAGTTTACTTTTGAGATTTATGGTATTTTTCTAGTAAAGCAACTAGACGCTGATCACGGGCACGTTCGTCCAAGACCTGCATTTGTAACCAAACCAAAGACCTGTTGTTAAAGAATATCAAATAAATGACAACACTACTTGCTTTGAGGATGATCCGAGAGAACATACCTCAATGATTTGCATAACGTCGTGGTTGGCAGCTAAGTCTACAGAACCTATGACTACCTGAAAGAAATTTGAATGATCGTCGGGAAATTTAAGCTATTTTCAGGTGAAGAAAGACAAATTGAGGAAGGAAACAATACTTTGATTGGATTTGGATCCATGAATTCCTGTGCCAATTTGTGAACATCCAAAGGCCAAGTTGCACTGAACATAACCATCTGACGAACTGTAAGACAGATAAGAAAGAAGAAGAATTTTCATTAAAATTTAGCACAAGAATCAAATTTGGTTTCTCACGAGAATGCTAAGTGAAATGTGACAACCACTTGCCTTTATTTGTCTTGCTCAATATAAACCGAACAGGTTCCTCGAAACCCATATCAAGCATTCGATCTGCTTCATCCAATACCTGACATATAGGAACTTCTGTTACCATCTAATCACTCGAAAATACAATTCAGATTGTTTCATTAGCAGCCAAAAAACGATGCAACGACTATGATCCTAGGAGGCTAAGTCAAATAACATTATTAAAAGATATTCTGTTGCTTACCACAAAGGAAACATCCGAGAGACGAAGCTCATTAGACTCAATCAAGTCTCTCAATCGACCAGGCGTACCAATGACAATATCCTAACATACAAGATCAAGAAAAACATTACTCAACTGATCCGAAAACATAAGAGAATGTCCTGACCTGATCAAAGAACATAATAAGAAATCTTACAACTCCAGATCGAATTGCATTTATTTGAGGCCTTTTAGAGCTTCCACCATACACACAAATCGATTTCAAACCACAAGGTTCTCCAGCTTCACTCAAAACATCAGAAATCTACCAATCCACCAAAACAAACACAACACTAAGAAATTCAACCAAAAATGTATCGTTTCACATTGTAATCATAATGATCAAAACCGATATATACATACCTGAACAGCCAATTCTCGTGTAGGAGAAAGAACTAAACAAGTAGGATTAACATTCTTTGATCCTCCACCAATCTTCTTATTCTTCTTCAACACATGCATAATCGCAGGAATCCCAAAAGCCAATGTCTTCCCTACAATTCACACAAAAACTCAAAAAGTTTCAATTTTTCAATCAAAGTTCAAACCTTAACACTCCCTAAAACATTACTAACCTGACCCAGTTTTCGCAATCCCGATAAGATCACGACCATCTAACAAAAACGGCCATGTATGTGACTGAATCGGAGACGGCTTCTCAAAAGTCTTACAACAATCTAAAACATTCTCAGGCAAATTCGATTCAGCAAAAGTCTTCAAAGCTGCGTACTTTGCTTCTTCCACATCTTTCCCAGTCACAACAACCTTCTGTTGCTCACTCTCTCCTCCATTGGTAACACTTAAATCCTCAGCTTCTAGGATCTTCTCCGGGACATCCTTCTTCTTATTCTTCTCAATCTCTTTCTCCTCTCTCTTACGTTTCTTCTTCTTCTCTTTATTACTCAACTCTTCCTCTACACCATTCGTGACCTCTTGAGGCACTTCATGAATTTCCTCTGTGTGTTTGTTCTTCTTGCTCTTCTTCTTCTTCTTATTGGTCATCGGACTCTCGACGGCTAAAGGTTCGCCGGAGATGGGAAGCTCTTGGAATTTTCCAGCCATTTCTTCGTTTTGTTTACAGGAGAGAGTTGATGAAACGGCCGAACGAGAGTCGTTGTTTAATTTAGGTTTTTAGGGTTTTAAAGCATTGCAAAAGATATTTTCTAATTTTGCAATTTTGCCTAACTATTTTTGGTTACTACCTAAAAGGTCTAGACTTCTGTTTTGTTAAAGTAAAACCCCAATTTAATTTTGCACAAAAACAATTTAATAGATAGCAACAATGAAATTACAAAATTCGTGAGTAAAGTTAAGAACTAAATAGAGATTAAACTCTGGGAATAACAAAAAGGAAGTCTGATAGATTTGTCAGCGTAAACTAAATCATAAGAATTGGTTTCAGGATCGTGCAACACGAGATGTTGCTTATGCAAATTATACCCACGATCATAGTATTTGGATTTTCATGGGGAATGCCATGTATTTGGATTGAATTAAAACAATATGTCAGGTTAAGATAACATATTTTCATACTCTTTTCCAAAACCAATGCTAGGATTCAAAATCTGCCGAATAATTTATGTTATGATTTTCTATATCCTATATTTTTCCGTTTCGTCATCTGCTTTAGTTTTTCATGTAGATTCAGACCGAATGACTCATTCAACTATTCGAGTTTATCTTATGTTCTTATGTTCTTCTCGTTCCATCATCTGGACAGTTCTGTTGAATAGTTTTTGCTCAAAAAATAAAGAATCACGAAGAAGATAAACAACAAAATGTAGTACATACCAGGAGTAAAAAGTGGAGACCTCCTCCAAAATCTTGGTTAAAATGTAATGTGGGGTTCTCTTGGATAAAGAGAAGAATCTAAGTGGTGCCGCTTGGGTCTTAAAAAACTCTGAAGGGACATGTGGATGTCGGATTCGCACACTTGAATATTTGTTTATTTAGTGGGAATGATTACTCTTGAGGACAAAAATATGATAAAAAAGCTATGAATTGTAATGGGAATAACTATAGTGTATTTGCTAGAAAAATTGCGTATCCTTTACATGGCTATTAGCCCTCTTATTTATATTGACAAACGACATTTAACTCTCAATTAAACACAATTATTCTCTCTTAAATGTGTCCGTTTTGGTCTTCGAGTTTAATGCTCAACGTTTGAATTTGAATTGATTCCGATCTTCATGGGCTTCGCCTTTTGGCCCAACTTACTTTGAACCATCCTGACTTTGACTCCGAGTCATATCCCGAAATGGACCACTTCGAGTTCCCTTCGTGATGATGCCCACTTCGACTATATCCTATACACCTTGGGTTTTAATGGGCCTTATTCTTTGCGGGCCTTTATCCTGACTATGTGGCGATCTTTGGTTGGTCCCGGTCTACTGGTGCGGGATCCGACACCAACAATTAGCCCCCCAAGTCTTTCGAAGTGCTTATTCCAATTCGGAAGGCTTAATCGTCTTAATGACCAAAGATTGCGCTCGTGGGTTCTTCTGGTTTTCCCGCCAAGATTTTGTCAATCCTTTAATTTCAGTATTACCCATATTTGATCGCGTGACATCTGTCATCATCAAGACCGTATCTTAATTATTTACTATTAAAACGGGGAAAACCTTTCCACTTCCCCACGACTCCCGAGGCGGTTCCATCATTTCCACTTAGTTTGCGTGAGGTAACCTTCTTTTTACTTCTATCTTTTGGTAAAAAATTTTCTTTCCTTTTTCTCTTTTCCTGCCAAGTCTCTCTCTGTCTCTTTCGCCAAACTTTCTCTTCTGGAACTTGAGTTTTCCCATTTTCTTTGATGTCTTCCGATTCCGACAGACCTGAGTCTCCGTCTTACGACGGGAAACGTTCTAGCCTTGACGATTGTACCATTCAATCCCTTCAACGATTGAAAGAACTCTGCCGACTTCCACCTGATGTGATGGCGGGATCGAAGTTGGCCGATCCTACGGAGTCCCCAGAGGATCACCGTGATGGTTACTTTTGTGTTTATGAAATCTACTTCAAGGGCTGTGGATTGACTTTCCCTCTTCCTGAAGCCCTAGTCCGGTATCTGGCGGCCCTTGAAATTGCTTTGCCTCAGCTAACCCCCAACCTCCTCCGAACCATCCTTGGAATCATAACCGTTGCGGCGGAAGCTGGCTACATTATTGGGGTTCCCGAGCTGAATGAACTTCTAAGTGTGAGAAGTTCGTCAAAGAAGGCAGGGTACTTTTCGGCGTACCCGAACGCTAATAGGAACATCATCTCGCATCTACCGAACAAGGATGAGAACTGGCACCATCCTTGGTTTCTGATTAAGAAAACTCCTGCTTCGATTGGAAGTCTTTCCGATGTGCTTCCATCGAAGTGGTCTGCAAAGCCTGGTAGAAAATAGGTTACAGACATTTTCTCAATCACCCTATTATTTTGCTAACCAAATTTGTTGTTTTTATTTTTGCAGCCTTCATTGCTCCAATTCTCCCAACTGAGGAATTCGTCAACTTCTTCAAGACAATCCTTAGAGGGGAAACCCTTTGGAATTCCTTTACTCTCGATCGGTTCATTGAAGCCAATCGAAAACTCAGGATGAGTCCGCCCAATCACCTTCATCGTCTTCCGCCTCCTCCTTCAACTCAGGGACTGTCAGCTCGGGCCCTCACTGCCCAGCGTAAGAAGCTCTCCAAGCCGATAGCAGAGGCTTGTGATGAAAATAAGGCGTTCCTTGCGGCCGCCATTGACAAGAAGGACTACAGCAGGACCTTACTAGTTGATGACAACAGCACCGAGGGGACCAGATCTGTCGTTGCTTACAGATTAACACCTCGTCGTGAACGTCGTAATGATCGTTCTCCTCGGAGAGATCGATCTCCTCGTCGTTACTCTCCTCGACTTCCCCGAGACGACTTTAGCAGCGCACCGCTTAAAGATTTGATTCGTAAGAAAAGAGACAAGTCATCTCGCAGCGATTCCTCTCCGCATAGGGAGAAATCGAGGGCCAGGACTGACCGTTCACCTCGATCGTCTCCTCCATCTAAAACAATGGGTCCTCCTGCTCCGGTTGACATGTCTTCTCTTCCCGAACATGATGGCGAGAAGACCACTCGGAGCGTATCTCCTCAGAAAGAAGGTTCTGGACCTCAAGATGCTTCTCCGAAGTCAAAACCTGCTCTTGTCCCCCAAATCAAATCGCTTACAGGTAACGATTTACGCATTCTTAAGGGTTTTTACTTCATCTTGATTCAAAATATTACAATTCCCCTTCTTCTTCCTTCACAGCTATGGAGAAAGAAGGTAGCGTTTTTCGATGCTTTAAGACCCGGTCGGGTCTAATCCTGCCGGAATTCGACAAGTGGCGTCCGGCAATTCGCGAACGCTATTTGCTTCATGCGCATCACTCATCTCGGGTTAGTTTTACTTCATTCTCTTTTTTTTTAATGTTAGCCTTCCAACTGGTTCATCATCTCGAGTTTATACAAAATGCCAGGCGAACAGCGAACTCAACGACATGGTCGAACACTATGAAGGATTGTTACTCAGCCAGCAACAGGAGATTGACTTATGGAGAGGCAAGTTTACTACTCTTGAGTCCGACCTTCAGTCATCTTCGGGCTCTAAGCAACAACTGGAAGATCAAGTAGTTGGCCTCAAATCTGAGCTTGAGAAGATAAGAGGGGACCTGAAGGACCAGTACGACCAGAATTACCAACTACAGAACGAGCTTTCTGGTGTTCAGGGTAGACTTCATGAATCCGAATCATCCGCCGATGCCCTGAATAACCAACTTATTGAACTTCACGCGAAGTACAACGCGATTACCAAGTTGCGTGATTCCGAGTTGGCAAGGTCGGCGTCGAAGGCCAGAAAAGAGGTAAAGGGACGAGGGATGGAGTTGATTCAAGGAGCCATCCGCTTTATTCAAACTGAGAAGGTTAAATCAGATCTGGAGTCAGACATCAAAGAGCACGAGAGCAACCTAATCTTGCTGGATCAAATCCATGATGACGATTTCTCCGAAGTGAAAGAGAGATCCGAGCTGTCGTCTAGTTTATCCGAAAAGAAAAATCGTCTGGCAGCTCTTCCCGCTTCGTCCTTCAACCCTCAGGATTTCGCGGAGTTTTTTACTGAATCTCCTCCCCTAAGTGAATCAGGTCTAGACTGGGCAGGTAAACACTAGTTCTTGATGCTTACTACCTTCTTCTTCCCCTTTGGTTTAACCCGAACTATCTTCTATAGGTTCAAGTGAGACGGAGGGCGTCGTTTCATCTGAAGTCCCTTCTGCACCGAAGGTCACCTCAGGAGATGTTTGTACCGAAGGGAATGAGCAAGGAATTTCCTCTGATCAAGCCCCGGCCAAGGAGGTGGGTGAAAACCCGTCAACCGAAATGGAAGCCGAAGTGTCTGCTGACCCGTAGTGGCTGCGTCCACTCCGAATTGGGGCTTGTCCCATTATTATACCTTCTTTTTGAGACTTAAATCTTTATACTCTTGCTTTTGCCTAAGGAGGCTTTATTATTAGTCTCTTTTGAACGAGATATTTGCCTGAGGAGGCTTTTAAACCTTTTTTGTTTTAGGTTTAGATCCCGAGAGGGTTTGGTTAAAATTATATGCGGGTTTGCAAGGTCCGCTTTTAACACTTCTTGGCCTTGTGGCTATGTTTTTTTCGAGATTTTTAGGCTGATCAGACCCTTCTCTTGGAATGCGAGAACTGAGCTCGGCTTAACACGAGTTCCCCACTTCGGGTTAAGTCAACTCGGTGAATTTGTTGGGCTTGGGCCTTAAAAACTTTTGTGCTTAATGGGCTCCTTGCCTTAAATGCGACGGTTGCCCTTTCCCTTCCTTAGGAAATAGGGAAAGCCGCACGCCTTTAAGGCAATAACTGCCTTTCTCGATTTCCAAAAATAGTTTAACCACTCGGGCACACTATCATCATTAATTTTACGGTTTCAAGATAAACCCTAGACCTATTATAAATAGAGGCAAGTTTGCTTCTAGCTTTTTAAAGAACTCCAAAATTCCTTTAACAATAATGGAGAACGAAAAAGTGATCCCCACCGATCCTGGCAGCCCCCTATTCTTGTCCGGCGATGGCTTCGA